AATTTGCAAGGTTAAGATATTTTCATTTCCATTGTGGAGTAATTGTGGTGAGCATCATTTTTCTTTTAGAAGCATTTATTCTAGCTATAATTTGTCTGATTCACCACCTTTGTTAATAATTTAGGATTATATGGATTCTTCCCTCTTCTTTGCTCATACCCAGTCATATACCAACTCTTGTTGATTTCTTGTCTACAACATATTAATCCCTTTCTCACTATTCCCACTGTTCTATCCTAGTAAAAGCCCTCATTACATGTTCTGACTATCTTACATGGCCTCAACAGATTTTTGTACCTCTCTGCTCTCCCTCTTCCCCTCTCCCAGTCTTTCTTATGCAAGTTTTCTTATGCCAGAAACCTTTCTTATGCAAGATTTGATTATGTCATGCCTCTGTTCAAAAATCTTCAGTGGTTCTCTGTTATCTAATGAATAAAGTTTCCATTTTTTTGCCTGCCATTACAGGCCCTCCACAATCTAGGACCAGCCTACATTCACAGATTTGGTTTATATTGCTTCCCTCCAGGTACTCTCTATTCTTGCCAAACTCAACTACTCTTTGTCCCATGAATATCCACTACATTCTACTGCCTTCATGCCTTTCATCATGCTGCTTCCTGTGCCTGGAGTACTTTCACTATCTCACTTTACCTGTTGTATTCTTATCCATACTTTAAAGTCCATTTCAAATGTTGGCTTTTGTAAGAATGATCTGGTGAATCCCTCCTACCAATCATATAGCATTTATCTTATACTTCTCTAATGTATTTATCATGTAACATGTATGATAATTATCTGTTTGTATCTTATCCTCTTTTCCTTCTCCCTTGTCAGCGTTTTTTTTTTTTCAGGGTGAGATGGGATTAATTTCAGGAATTACAAGTGTGGAAACTCCTTCCACCAATGCAAGTTAGCATCTAGCCTGCAATTGTAGGCACACAGTGTATTCAGGGCATGAACTCAAGTCTTTCTGAATTTATCCACTATGCCATATTACTTCTCAGTTCTGAGAACAGAGCTTAGTTCAACAAATTGTCTTTCTTGCCACTCAGCCACCCTGTATTCATCTAGTACTTAAAGGATCCAGGTGTGAAACAACAAACCAGGGCAAATGTAATCCTTACTCCATATCCCGTCCTTTCTTAGTAGTCTTTAGTTTTCTAGGTATCTTTATTTTCCCTCCACATTTCTTTCTCACTGAAAAATGGTAATCCTAAAGAAAAAGAAGAAGCTCTTTTGAATGAAGGCTTTGTAATATTGAGATAGTAATTTAATTTAATTTAAGCTTGTAGGCAGTTTCATGAGTATTAAAGAAATTGGAGAAGCAAGATACAGAGTCCAAACAAATAGAAATCCTGAGTCAAGGAGAAAGAGATAGGAGATTGTGTTGTACGAAGGTCCTCCTTCTCTTTAAAGGAAACACTTTTGTCTTTGAGATGTTTTAACTGATGAGAGTAGAAACAAAGCCACAGACATACTTGGTCAGAATGGACAGGGAATGTGAATAGAGAAGAGTCATTGAAGGTGTTGAAAGATATGTAGAGTTGAATATCAACATCTTAAGTGTTTACTCTGGCATTAACAAAAGATAAGAGTAGATAAAGAGGAGCAGGAGATTGAGAATTGAATTTATCTGAAGTGAGGCACTATAAATTCTTACTGTCATAAATAGCTTTGTAGGGTATGTGTGTGTGTGTGTGTGTGTGTGTATGTATGCATGTGTGTGTGCTTGTGTGTGCAAAGAGTGCTAGACTTGAAGTCAGGAGATATAGGTTAACTTTGCTGAGGATTAGTTTCCTGATCTGGAAAATGGGGTTAACAACATTGTCCACCTCACAGCATTGTTGTTACAAGAAAGAACTCTGTAAACCTTAAAGCACCATATAAATGTCTGAATTTATAAACTCTTCATATAGACTGGCACACATATATGTAATGTGCTGTTGCCATTTATATGTGACTTAATGGTTTTTTCTGTCTTGTTCAGCAACATCCTTCCCGCTTCTCTATCCTGTCAGTATAAAACATATTACATTATGTTCTAGTGCACAAATTTTAAGACATTGTAAGGAGATCTTGGGATATAAATTATATGTAGAATGCAAGTTATATTATGTAATTTTATGTTCCTTCATTAGGCAAGTGTTGAAAGCGTTACTTTTGTGTTTTCGGGGGCTTCCCTGTTTCACCTTCAGTCATTGGTTCCTATAACAGCCATGACCCTTGAAGTTATTGACCTTTCTTTAAATTCACCTTATTTTAAAGACCACATTATTTCATTTTAGCCCTGAAGGGAGATCTTTTTTTTTGCTTTTGTTAAAACCCCATCTCTTTAGGTTCAGGTAGAAATTGATTTGTAACCAGTCTACTGGTTCATTATGGTGGTCTTCGCTTATAGAAATTCCTTGACTAGACTTTTCTTTCTTCTGGGTATTCCTATATATCAAATAAGATAAGCCTTTAACACTTTTATTATTCATTAATTGTCTTTAAGGTAGTTGTCAATAGTGATATCTGAAATAACACGTTCTCGGGGAACACAACTACTTTCCACAAAGTTGGCCTGGGTGCAATGGGGCTGGGAAAAATTTCTATCTCTTTAGTACTGGGTCAGTGGCAGTAGTGGATGAGAAAAATGGGTCAGTAGCTCTTTCTCTCATTCCGTTCAGGTCCTGGGGCAAGTCACTTGAGAGTTAGGGAGATATTACTTGGGTCTCTTCCTTCCCCAATGGAGTTTGGGAAGTTGTGGCCTGCTTGGTATGTAAGAGATGAAGAGAAGACTTATAGAGAATAGGGATTGTTTTTTACCTTTCTTTGTATCCCCAGCATTTAGCACGGTGCCTGGCAAATAGTAGGTGCTTAAAAATGTGTATTGATTGACTGTCAGCTGAAGGATGGCATCTTAGAGAACCTTTATATGGGAGGTAGCTTGGCATATTGGATAGCGTTAGAGTTGGAGCCAGGAAGATCTGGATTTGAATCTTACCTCAGTTACTTACTAGCTATATGATTCCAAGCAAGTTATGTAATCTCATTCAGCCTCATTTTTCTCATCAGCAAAATGGGGATAATAATAGCTCCTAGGTCATAGGGTTATTGTGAAGATCAAATGAGATCATATATCTAAAGCTCTTTGCAAAACATAAAATGCTATATAAATGTTACCTATTATTAATATTATCTTAGAACACATTTCCAGTATTTTGTATATTACATCTGTATTTGATAAGTATTTGCAACCACATAGTGTATGGTTGGCATGCATCCTTTTACACATATTGGCTTTGTTACCCTGGACAAGTCATTTAACTTCTCATTGTTTTAGGCAACTTTCTAAGATTATAAATTATAGAAAAGATACCAATCTGCATTGACAGGGAGGTGTTTCCTTACCAGGAAGTTTCCAAAACCAGTGAAATCACAGGTCCACAGATTTCTATCCATATTATTGTATTTATGATCCACTTCTGCCTTCCAGTTTTGAGGTGACCCCATCATGCAGGTCCCTCTGCCATACTTCTCATCCACCCCTCTCCCCTCCCCAGCCATGTGTGCCTCAATTGGTCCTATTTATTTTGGTGAGAAGAGAAAAATAAGATAAAATGTTTATGTATTGAGTGTCCACCAAGTGGCTAGGAACAAACTCGTGTTTCTTGGATTGTATATTCCCAGAAGTTGTTGACTCTTTGCTATTTTCATTATGCTTTTGTATTGTTGCCTGAATTATTCATTGGTGTTCTTTAGAAAATTTGACAAACTTCTGGGACACATGTATACTGTTTTATCTTAAAATTCAAGTAGTTGCGCATTTATGCTTAATGCAGTAGTAAAGCTAGACATATCTATGAAATATTTATTGCACAATTTGGATTATTTAGTTGTGGCTAAAATGGTTCCTAGGAAAACATATGGGCTAACAGTATAAAAAATGAAATTTCATATTAGCTATTCTGGGTATTTATGAACTCTAGCAATGAAGTAGGACTAAGATATTGATTTCTCATAAAATAAGCAGAAATAGGAAAACATTCTGACAGCTGATATATTCCAGATTCATTTGTAGCTACCATTTTGATATTAAAATTAAGGATTGAGAGGTTAGGTTTCTGCTTTCTAGTTGATTCTCTTTATAGGAAAAACATAAATCCATGTGCATGTCAATATAAATTTGTTTAAGTAAGTAGGAAGACCCTTTTTCTAAGTGGATCCTCCCCTCCCCACAATTTTTATGTGGTTGGTAAATAGATTTATACAAGAGTAGGTCTAGTTGAGAAGTAATGGAGTTAGCAACATTGTTCACTGTCAGGTTTAGATTATCTCATCCTGGACAGTTAGGTGGCACAGTGGATGGAGTGCTAGCTTGGAGTCAGGAAGACTCATCTTCCTGAGTTCAGATCTGGCTTCAGACACTTACTAGCTCTTTAACCCTGGGCAAACCTTGTTGACCTCAGTTTCTTCATCTGTCAAATGAGCTGGAGAAGGAAATGGCAAACCACTCCAGTATTTCTGCCACAAAAATCCCAAATGGGGTCACAAAGAGTCAGACATGACTGAACGACTAAACAACAACAACATATCTCATCCTGGTACACCATTTCTCAGTAGTCTAGCCTACTTAACCATTTTTAAAAGGCACTCACTATAGTGTGTATTATCCATTTTAATGCCTGAATATAGGGGTAAACCAAAAGTTTCATTTACTCGTTGGATATTACATGAATGCAACCCTTTGTGACCATTTTTCTCTGATTTCATCTTTCACTTTGCATCTCTAGTACCTGGCACCTAATGAGAACTTAATCAATTCTTATTGATTGTCTGATTTGTGCAGAAGCACTCTCAGGGCACAATCCTTTTATTCATATTTGTGTTCTGAAAATATATTCTGTAGTGAGAGAATAACGAAAAGATAGAGAATTTGCTTAATAGGGTTTCTGCTATGTCATATATAAACAATTTAATGAATTGTATTTTTTTTTCTCTATTTTCCCATCTACCAGGACCAGGACCAATATTCTCACCTATTAGATAACCAGTTTCTGCCATACAAAGGTCTTAATTCATTTCGTGAAAAGTATTTTAGTGGGGTAACAAAAAGAATTGCCAAGGAAGAAAAATCCAGCCAGGAGTGAAAATTAAGTTTACATCAAATGAACTAAGAATGAAGATTTGGGGTTTAAAGAGAAAAGACATCTGGATATTCATGGATGACCCAGAGAACATGTACTGTTTTAAACTTTTTTTAAAATAGAAAAGCAAAATAAATACGACAAAGTATATTGAGCAATTCTTTTGAAAGTGGGTTTGTTTATAGCAGATTTTTTTGTACATGTCTTTTGCAAACATTATTTAATTTATATTTGTATTTTCAAGGGTTAATGAAGATTGACTTTAAAGTTATATTTTTTTACCATTAACTTGCAAAAGGAAATAGTTCTATTGGTATTTTGGTATTTTGGTATTTGGGGTCTCCTGTATATTTTAGTACTTATTGGAAGTGATCAAGAATTATTTCTTTAGTAGATTTGTCTAGCTGTTTAGTTTTTATTTGTAAGAAATATTCATTGCAACCAATAAAACTTATGCAGCTTCTTAAAGATCATGTAACACATTCAGTAGTTTCTTGGTTTTTTTTTTTTTGTGGTTGTTATTTTCTTGGTTAAGTTTTCTTATTCTTCTGGTAGTGATAATAAAAAACCCTAGGACCTGTTAAAACTGCAAAAAGCTCTCAAACTGTCTGAAGCCTGTTCACATCTGAAGCTCATCTGTACCTTGGATTTGATCTCACATTCCTAAACCTTGACTTTTGGTAAAGACAACTGCCCACAATTTTTGGTTCAGCAACTGAAGCACAGTAACAACAACAACAACAAAAAATGCCGTAATAGTCCCCTAATGGTATTAAGTCTAATCAGTGCTCTTTGAAATCGAAGCCTTATTTTTCTTGAAGGGGAAACTTTGCTGAATCCACATTGTGTCATGAAAGTATCTCATTGGGAAACCACTAACCCCATTAGTTCAGGATGTTAATGGCTTTCCTTGCCTTTGGTGGTCAAATGTACCTCAGCAGGGTGGTGGTAAAGTGGAGTCTTTCAATCTATCCAGATGCTGGTGGATTTAAAAGGTTTTTTGTTTGTTTGTTTGTTTAATGTTACCTTTGGTAGTTGTGGCCACCCATTAGTGGGTCCTTGATCATCACCTTCCAAAGACCAGTGCGGCTCATGCAGAAGGCTCCCTGCTTCCGTGGAGTCTTCCTTTTGTCCTCTTCTGCTATGGTTCTGAATCTCAGCAGGAAGGTCTCAGAAATTTCAATGATTGTTTTGTTTGGGCTTCTGGATGTGATTTGTGGTACACTAGGGGAAAATCTAAAAGTATCCAACAGTGATTTATTTTAAGAATTTCTATTATAAACTGCTGTATCTTATTTTAAAAAATTTGGAAGTTGTTTTGGAGTAAATTTGAATTTTTATAACTGGCAAAATTTGGAATGACAGATTTGAGCCTTCTGATTTTTTTTTTCGCTTTGCAAACAAAAATTAGTCTTAGTTTAAAATTTTGCAGCATTTTAAAATGAATTTTAACTTGGTCACCATTTAAAACAACAGAAAAATAAAAGCCATATAACTTATAAATGGACTTCAGATTCCAAATAATCCTTTTAATTGAGCTAATTATTAAAATCAGTCTATTAAACTTTGAGTCTGCAGAAGCTCCATTGAATTTATTTGGAGTTTTTGTTAGCAGAACCACCCTTAAACTCCTAATTTGTCACCAGCTTGGGAGCCAATCATTGGAATCCATAATTTATTTTATTATATATTTTGTAATATTGTGTAGCAATTACAACATCACTTCAAAGTAGGTTGTTTCAACGTTATGTGTGGATGCTGGCTCATTTCTTTATGTATTTAGCAGCAGGAATATCACCTAGCCAATTAACTAAACATTAATCCACTTAACAGCCCTGTAGCTCTGTGATTCAAAATATGGTCTGTACGGGTCCCCCAGGTGGTCTCTGGACCAGTCTCTTTAATGTTTATAATATGACAAAAAGTCTGCAGTTTTGTTTCTGGTATAAATTAATTTATTTAACATATAATAAAAACCAGACCACCTGAGTGATGTTTCATCAAAGGTAATAACACCCTTGTTAATTCTGGTCAGCATTTTTTTGTGTCTGGTGGCAAGCAGGAGGAGTAGGTAGAATAGGTGGTCTTTGCCCAAGTAACCAGCAGACACAAAAAGTTCAAGAACTCTTTGCCATGTTTTCTCAAGAGCTTCCCACCCTGGGTGTGACCTAGCATTAGGCTAACCTGCCTATGACAAACCCTTTAAAGATAGGGATTTAGTAATGTGGCATTTTCAGAGTGTTTGCAAGCTCTGGGAGGTAAGGCAATCTTATCATAGTTTCCTTGTTAAGGAAATGGGCTAAGGAAATGTGCACTCATAAAGTTGGCCGTTCTCTATACACTTGAGAGGGGTGGATATTACAACTGAAAAGAATCTTATTCCAAGCTTTGTGGTTGGAGGGAGGTACAGCCCGAGGTAGCATAATTGGATTCCTTAAAAGTGAACGTGTTTATATTATTGGGTGAAAAATATGCTTTAAAAGTCTCTAAGCACATGCTTTATGGAGACATGGAAATCGCTTTTGACTCATGTGTTTTTTATACTCTTATTAAAATGTAAATGAAAGAAGCAAGGATGTTATTTTTAAAATCCAGGAAATAAGACTTTAAGATGGAGTGATCTGGTTGCCAGTGTGAGCAGTCAGCTGAGAGAATTGGAGAGAACTGCTAGCTGTTCCAGAACTCAACATCCTATCTATTGCCTGCCTAAATTGGGGCAAGCTGTCCGCCATGCTAGGAATGCACTTCCTCCTTATTTTTGTCTCTCACAATCTTTAATACTCAGCCTTATCTCCTTACCTCCAGAAATTTCCTCCGTGATGAAGATTAACAACATATTTGTGACTTACGGTTTTCGAGAGTCGTCTGTGACACTGAGAGGTTAGATAACTTTCCTAGGGTCATGTAAGTGTATATCTAAGGTCTTCTGACTCTAACACTAGTCTTGGAGATCAGGGCTTCTTAAACTTCTCCCATTCATGACCCCTTTCCTTGTTTCAGTAGCGTTTGTTGGTGTTTGTGGCCTGAGGACACATGCAGTGCAAAATGCAGTGAAGTTGTGCCATGCAACAGGGGCAAGCACTGCCAGAAACATCTTCTCTTAATTATGTGTTTGATTTTGAATTAATTTTTGGTCATTGCACATTCAGAAACCTTTTATTGTTGCCAAATTTTTCGTGACTCCATATGGGCACAACCCACAGTTTAAGAAGCACTGTGGAGTCTAGACAGCATTCACTCTGTTCCTTAGTGAATTGCTATATTCAGAAACATTCAGCATCCTTGGGCCTGCCTTTTGGCGATGAACCTTCTGAAGTTAACTAGTGTAGTCCTCATATAACAGACGTGAAGCCTTTCCCTTTTGTTAGGACTCACACTCTAAGCTGCACACCAAGATGAGTCTTGGGAGGACTTTTCACATGACATTTAGTTAGTTAGTTGAATTGATTTCTGACCTGAAGATTGTGTGGCAGCAGCAGCCTCCTCTTAACTATAGCCTTTGTCTCTTCTTGTCTGTTAACTGATAATAGATAGATGATGGGGAGAACTGGGGACTTGATTTCCTTTATTATTGGTGTCAGGATAAGTACTTTGGGTCATCAGAGAAGATAAGAGTAGGGTAATACTCTAACAAATTAATGAGCAGAGCACATTACTTGTGCAGAGAGAATTATTCCCTCTGGGTCATAGGATGATAGATTTAGAGCTGGAAGAGACCTCTCCTCCAACCATCTTGTCCAACCCTCCCTTATTTTACAGATGAGGAAACTGAGGCCCAGGGCAGTTAAGGGACTAGTTCAACATCAGGGAGATATTAAGCATTAGAGGATAAATTTGAACCCAGGTCCCCCTGAAGGACTGTCCACTTCAAACTTTTCTTTCTTTCTTTTTTTTTTTTTTGGCTAGCCAATGGGGTTGCCCAGGGTCACACAGCTAGTAAGTGTTATGTGTCAGAGGCCAGATTTGAACTCAGGTCCTCTTGAATTCAGGGCCGGTGCTCTATCCACTGCACCACCTAGCTGCCCCCAACTTCAAACTTTTCCATCGCCAATTTGTCAAGTGATGCAGTTTTCTCTCCAGTCCCTTGCTGCCCCTTACCATTCCCTCCACTTCCCAAAAAACCCACAACCCAATCCTTTAATCCATGATGTGTATGTATATATATGGACACAATAAACTTAAGCTAAGGGTGTGGTGTTTGCACTTCATTAAAACATTTTAGATCTTCCTTAATACCAGAGTGGTCTGGGAACAGAAAGTCTAGAGTGTCAAGTATTGCAGTAGAAGGATAAACACATTTCTAGCCACAGAATCACAGATGCAGCATGTTCTTGTCTATACTGGGGTGAAATAACTCACTAAGGACCCTGATCCTATTCTTTCTGCAAGGGTCTTCATGAAGATGTTCATCTGTTTACCTCAGCTGGTTAAGCCAATTGACGTTTTGTTGTAACTGAGGCCAACTTGGTATTTGGCTCTTATCCCTCCATCAGTAAGCTAATGGTGACAAGGCCTTAGGGGATAGAAGTTAAACTGTTTCAGCAATATCTTAGGTAACCTGGGCCGCAGATCAAAATCAGGCTTTACTAGATGAATGTCAAGATAAGCCAGCTGCCCTTATGCAACTTCAGGCCCTTAGCCCTACTTCACAGGGTATTAGAATGTACTCAGTACATTTTCCTTCTGGCATCTGAATGTTCTTACAAAGACAGTCTTATTGCAGTAATGCCAGACTTTAAATTGCCAAAAAAGGACTCTGCTTTGAGCTCAATAATTTAGAAATTTCTCTTTCAAACATCCTCTCCGACTCTCCTGGGTAATTATTAAGAAGGGAACTCTTGTATTGGCAGAGTACCAATAGTGCAACTTAGCATGGAATCAGGAGCTCATCCCAAAAGTCAGTTCAGATTTAAAAGAAAGCAGACTATGTGAAAGAAATAGAATTGAAAAGACTCAGGGTGCTAAATCACAAAAAACTCTGCAAAATAGTAGTATCAGCACTATCTTTCTCATTTCATCGATGAGAATAAAAGGTTAGAGACATTGTGATTTGCTCATGGTTTCACCGGTGGTGTCTGACTGAGAACTGGAGCTCAGGCCGTTATTTAAATGCTGTACTCAGTTCTAGAAGATGGCTACCTCTAAGTCCTGTAAACCATACTTCATTCATTCATTCATTCAAGTATTTTACTAAGTGTAAGGCACATATTTCGTGCTGGGGGTACAAAGACAAACTAAAATGGTCTCAACCCTCAGGTTGCTTATAATTTACTTGGGGTAGTGGGGGAAAGGAGGAGCAATACGTGCATAGGTAAGTAAATAGAGAATAACTTCAGGATGGGGATGTAGAGCAATAACAGCTGGGGAGGGGGTCAGGAAAGGCCTAATGTCCAAGACA